GAAAGACATCCCAAAGAGACCTTTCTCCCAGTGTTTATCTACGATTATTTCTCCTCTGTTTGCAGAGGTAAGATGACCGGCTGACTGGGGGTGGGGTGGGGGGGTGGGGGGTGGGGAAGGTCTGTGCAGGGTCTTGCGGCCGCCAGCCTCAGGCGCTGCTTTCCGTGTGCGCCCCACCCCCCACCCCCGCTGGCCTCTGCTGGGCGGTGCCCACTGTGTGGCACCCCGTGAGTGCCTAGGCAGAGTGGCAGGGGCCACGTTACCAGCATCAGTGAGTCGCTGCCGGGCTGCTGCAGGCCTCCTGGGAGTCGCTGTGTTTTCCACGGCGCCCCCTCTCAGCGGCAGAGTCCTGTCGCCCACCGGGCTGCCCTCCTCCCCGAAGCCAGTGTGACTCCTGCTGCACTTGACGTTGCTTTTCTGTAACGGCAGAAGGAGCCAGCAGGCACAGCCTCACGGTCAGATCTGGAGGAGGCACAGGAAGCCGCTGGTCTCTGTGCTGCCTGCTGCCCTGCCCTGCCCTGCCCTGCCCCTCCCTCTCGCTGCTCTCGGCCGGGACCCGCGCACTCAGTGCCCTGTGCTCCTGTGTTGCAGCTGAAGGAGAAGAGCCAGGCGTGCGGAGGGAGCGTGGGTTCCATCGAGGAGCTGCGTGGGGCCATCTACCTGGCGGAGGAGGCCTGCCCCGGGATCTCCGACACCATGGTGGCCCAGCTCGTGCAGCGGCTGCAGAGGTGATGTGCTCGCCACGCTGCCTGTCCCTTGGCGCCTCCTCCTCGTACCTGCCTCTCTTGTTCCAGGCCACAAGGCGAAAGTAGGAGCAAGTTAGGGCAGACGTGTCTGGAATTCTGTGCAAATCAGTAGGCGTGAGTGACAGGACGCCAGAAACCAGCTGCAGGGCCACGGGACCCTGCACGTTGCAGCTCTTGCCACAGAAGTATGGGCTGATGGCCACGTGTCTGCCCACTCCTGAGTGTGTGCCCAGTTACTATTCGGAGAGGTAGCGTGCGTAGCCCTGCGAGCGACCACTGTCCAGCAACACGCAGGCTGCGGCACAGAGAGCCAGCAGCCGCCTGCTGCTCGGCCTCACTCCCGCTTCTGGCCTTAACCCTGGGGGATCCCCTCAGACTGGGAGCGACTGTGCGTGAAGCGCTCCAGAGCCTGTCTCCATCTCAGTTGGGGTTCGCTGAATTCTCTCGTGTTGTCAGCTCGTCCCATGATCTCATTTTTTAAGTTCTGGAAGCTAGAGTCAGGGTCTGTGGCTAGCACTTGCTGTTAAGAGACTTTACGTAACCATGAGTGGTCTGGGACAGCGCCGAGGGCTGGAAAGTTTGAGGAAAGTCACCAATACATCCTTGGCCAGGTTCTGCACCGTAAAGGGTGACAGCATCATAGAGTGGAGACTGCGTGACCCCTGGCCCCCGACCCCGTCACCTGCTGCACTGCCTTCCCTTGTCACATGCGAGCCGTGAGCACGTACCAGGGTTGTGAGTGCACAGAGGCCTTGTTAGACGTGGCCTGGGACATTGTGCGTTGCCCAGGACACAGGTAATCCTGTGCATACTTGCTAACTGGTGTAGATTCTTCATCTCACTTAGAAGTACAGGTCATTAGAATCTTAGTCTGTTTCATCCAGCTTGCATAATTTACTCACCTGTTTCTTTGTTGTTGGGCATAAAACTTTTTTCTTGTGATCATAGTAAATTTTGAAACATCTCGAGAGCGGTCTGTCTCCACACGTGGCTACAGAGTGGGCTGCTTGGATGAGGTCGGAGCTTTTGTGACTGGAAATGGTTGCCTGCGCTCACGCCCCCGCCACGTGCGTGCGGCCCGGGCGGCTGTGTGGCTGGGGCTTCCCCATTAGCTGTTGGAGGTTGCCGAGTCTGTGGGGAGTCACTTCCGGCTTCACTCCCGGCGTCCCTGCGGCCAGGCCGAGCACGTCCTGCCGTGCTGTTGTGCCCTGTGCAGGCGTCTGTGTTGCAGCCGTGATGCCTGTCATCGTCACGCGTCGTTTGGATGGTAGACTGATGACGCTGTTCATGTTGGCTCCATTTACGTTCCTGCAGCTTGGGTTGCTGTTGCCGTTGGTTCGAGTCTTCCCGTGGGGCCTGGAGGCGGCACTCACTCGGCTCCTCTTCTCTTCTCCCCAGGTACTCTCTGAGTGGCGGAGGAACCTCGTCGCACTGAGACGCCTTGGCATTTTGGGTTTTGTGTTTTTCTTTCTTCTTCATCCTCCTCCTTAAGAGTCAAGGAGAGCCTTTGCTGACTGCTGAACAGGTGCGCGGCCCAGGGGCCGTCCCCCCGGCCGCCGGCGCCCGGCGCGGGACACGTGGCGGCCCTCGCCGTGCCGCGGCCAGATGAAGTCTCCGGGACGGATGGGGTGGGGCTGTGCCTGCGCCTGCAAGCGATTGTTTTATTATTCCTGTTTTTACTTTTCACCATAGTGCACATATTCAAGGAGAGTGTCTTTAAAACTCACACAAACCGGAAGTGTATATTTGGGATTCCGATCAGGCAATGCAGACGCGAAACCTCAGGTATCCTGCTTCAAGCTGACAGCTCCCCCGGGAGACGCAGAATCGCTCTGGCGGGTCGGTGTACAGATCTGTATATAGTGTCATTTTTACGGAAACCCTTTTGGCGTGCATAAGGAATCACTGTGTACAAACTGGCCAAGTGCTTCTGTAGATAATGTCAGTGGAGTAAATATTTGACAGGCCATAACTTGAGTCTATTGCCTTGCCTTTATTACATGTAAATTTTGAATTATGTGAGCAGTGACTTGGGTTTTATTTTGTACTTGCAGGGTTTGCCATGAGTAATAACTCCCGCTCCTCTCTGTACCTCAGCACAGGCGCCATCCCCTTGGTACACTTAGATGTTGGTTTCCTGTCCCATTGATGGTACTATTTCTTGGTGTTTTAAATCGGAACATATCTTGTCTCATGGAGCTTTAAGTTATTGTTTCACGTTTCTCCCGGATGCCGCGCCCTGGGCCAGCCTTTGTTTGGAGTCGTGCCACTGCCGGTGTGCGCCGGATGTACCGTCTTCTCCCAGTACGATTTTCTGTTGCACCTTGTAGTGGAATCTGCATATCATTTCTGCCACCTAAAACGTCTGAATGCTTACACGAATAAATTTTATAACACACTTACCTTGCATACTCTCCTTGGGACGCGGCTCTGCGGAGCCCAGGGCGGCCGTGCCGTGTATGTATGTGTGGCTGCATGTGTGCCAGGACGGCAGAGGGGCCAGTGTCCGTGCCCGCCCCCTGCAGCTCGAGACGGGCCCTGGAGGACATGGCGTGGCGCTCGCCTGGAGGCACCCTGTGGGTTTCTGGGACGGCGATTTCTCCTGCCCTGTGGACGTGTGTTGATGCTGCCAATTGTTGGGAGTGGCGGTTCTTGGGGGAGCAAGGCAGGCAGTGAGCGGGTGACCCTCAGGGCGAGTCTCTGGCTGGCCATTCCGGGGAGAGGGGCAGAGGCCGAGCCGGGAGTGTTGGAGGGATGCTGGCTGTTCTGACTGGTGCCAGTTGTGTTTTCAAACTCTCAGGATGTTCTCGGAAGTGAGCTTGGCTGGAACGGTTAGTGTCTGAGGGATGCGTTTTGGTCGGGGATAGAACCAAGGTGCTCACCCTGGCCTGTGGCTAGAATGTGGCTGGGACAGGAGACTGGACAGCGTTTTGTGTCTCTGGAGAGTGTGTTGCTGCGGCAGGAGACAGAGTTGCCCTGAGAGGATCCCTGCTCCCCAGGGCAGACGCAGCTTTTCCGATTGGTTGAGTCTTCAGACGTGCAGGTGGCCTCTGACTCTGGAGCCAGGCTCACAGACCAGAGCTGCGGCTGTCCCGGGCAGTCCCTGGGCTACAGTGGCACACAGCTCCACCTCCTGGCGGAACGGTGCCTGCGGAAGCATCGTCTGGGTAGGGTGCCATCTGTCACACGCAGTTTGTTAGGGACCAGGATGCAGAGCCACGGCTGGGCCCTGCCTTGCGCCACACGCCACGCTGGCTGCTGTGGTTCGAGCAGAACGCAGGCTCGGCCTTCCCGGCCGATCTGCTGGGCTGGAGCCCGCGGCCGCAGCTGGATGTCCTGGCTGGCTGCACCAGGGAGGTGGCTCACCCGCGTGCCCCAGCACCCACACAGCCGGCCTCCTGTCTCGGTCTGATCAAGGCCGCCTGCTCTCTAGATGTCCATTTGGTTTGAGCAGCTCTTGTGGTGTCTGGTTTGGTTCTTTGCCATAGCATTTTGTACCATTTCTCTGGCAAATTGTGGGATGAATTTATGTGCTTTAAGATACTTTTAAAAACAAGAAAAAATTTAGTTGAAAGTCAGAGTTACACAGAGAGAGAGAGGTCTTCCATCCAATGGTTTACTCCCCAATTGGCCACAATGGCTGGAGCTGCGCCGATCTGAAGCCAGGAGCTTCTTCTGGGTCTCCCACGTGGGGGAAGGGGCCCAAGGACTTGGGCCATCTTCTACTGCTTTCCCAGGTCATAGCAGAGAGCTGGATCGGACCTGGAGCAGCCAGGACTGGAGCACTGCAGGCCAGGGCGGCTGTGCCACAGTGCCGGCCCTGACACTTTGTAGCCCGGCAGTGGAGGCAGTGCACCCTGAGCCCCACAGCCACCAGCTCGAGGTCTGGCAGGATCTTGTGTCTCGTGTGCAGGGGGCGCCTCAGAGCCCCCCCGAGGTGAGGTGCTGCTCACAGGCTGCTCTGGGAGGGCCCAGCATGTGGGTTAGGAGTCAACACAGACGTACCGAGTGGCAGACCACTCCACCTGGGGGGATGGGGAAGGCAGGCCCCTGGCAGCCCTCTGCTTACGGAGATTTTTTCCCCTGTTGGCGAAGCCACCATGCATGACACTTCCAGAATGTCTGTGCCCCATACAAAGCTTTCTAAACATGCTTGTTTGAGGGGTCACTCTCGGCCCCTCTGCAGGACGAGCCAGCCAGGGCAGCAGCACCCCGTCCCCACCCCGTGCGCGAATAAAGACAAGACAAAGTGGCTTGTTTTGCCTTAAAACTTCCATAAGCTGGACTGTGGCGTGAGGTATTTTTATTCCCTTTTGTTAGTACTTAACCGTCTGGTACACACTGTAAGGCAATGATGAACAGGTATCCAGCGCCTGTGGGTGTCTAAGTCGTGCGCACCAGTCCCAGCTCCAGGATGGCGGTGGGGCCCAGTGGGCCACCGCCTCCGGGGTGTTTAAGACTTGCGTTAGAAAGGGCTTGGGGACGCTAAGGGAGAGCAGCCACCGCTCACCGTGGAGAAGAGGCAAAGGTTTTCACTGGTGGGTCCCGGCAGCCACGCCCCATGCCCAGGGCGATGCGTATAAAAGAGTAAAGACAGGCACAATATATACTACTAGAGAATGTGCAGTTTCAAACCACAGTGGCAGAGCCACGGGGCGGGGGCCTACGTACCGTTACCCCGTGAGGCTCCCAGGCGCCCCCGGCTCGCCCCACGGCCCTGCTCAGTGACAGGCTTTCATGCTCGCGAACAGACAGCACTACAGCACGCCAGACACCTTCCCACTGTACACACCACCCACAGCACGGCAGAGGGCTGGCAGAAGCAACTCCGCCACAGTCTGGACACAGTCGGCACTGGGACAGATTTGGTCAGGAAAGAGGGCTGGTGACGGGCGCCTCAGGGAGCAGGACCTGCCCCACCCCCGCCACGGGGAACACGGAGTGTGCTGCAAATTGCTTATTAATCAAAGAAGTGAGTCTTACTAACTCCTATTATAAAAGTAGAAAGACCGACAAAAACGAAATCTGAAAAGGATCTCGCTGGCTTAGGACTACGCCACACGTGTCACACACTGGAAAGTCCCCGGGGACGGGGACCACGGAGGGTTGAGGACAAAGCAGCGTGGCAGCGCCGCCGTCGGGCTGAACGGATGCGGCCGCACTGCTTGCACGGTGCCCTGGAGGACGAGGCTGTCGGCACCCGGTGCACACGGCGTCGCTTGGCACTGTTGGCGACGCCACCTTAATACTGGTGTGAGCCGGAGAGCGGCCCCCGAGGGGAGCTGGCGGGGGTCCGGTTCCGATGAGAAATTAACAGCTGAAAAGACAAGGTTAGGAGACGCTTCTGCAAAGGGAGACAGACGAGAGTGGCGGCGACACCGTGTTTGCTTCTCAGACAGGTGTGAATTTTACTGGGCTGCATCACACAGAAGAGCGGGCCCTCCAGGCAAGCCGTCAGTATGCGTGGGAGTCCTTGTGACTCGCGCTGGGCGCCCGGGAGGCCGAGCTGGTGGCACTTCGGATCACCTCCATCCACCTGGAAGGCAGGACGGCGACACTGACTACCCTACCCCGGGTCCTGCTGCAACAGCCGGCCTGGGGGAGCCTGCTGCCCGTGGACCTCACGACACCCACGAGGAAACCCAAGGTTCGTGTTGCGTCTTCTCCTGCCCATGCAGGCAGAGCTCAGCCCTGCACCCCGTTTGTAGGAAGGGGCTTCAGAAAGTCTGGAAATTGGAATTAAGCTGATTGGGTGCAATTCTGAAATCCATGCATGCACAGGTTCTTCCCCAAGTGTAAGGACTGTGTGTATTAGGAGAAATCTGGACCAAAATATGCATGCACGTGATGCGACTGTTTTCTCGGGTCCTTTGCAGTATGTTCCCCCCGCCCCCACACAGGCCTTGCTCCTGGTATAGTCCATGTTGCAGGACGCCTGTGGCACCGACTTAAGGCCTGGTGCCACAGTCGGGGAAGCCGTGCCTCCACGGGCCTGTGTGGGAACAGAAGTGCCACACTGCTAGCGCGGGGCAGAGGGCATCAGGGCACAAGTCCCAGTCTGGGGCGGGGGCCGCCTACCTCTCAAACGTGTACTCGCTCTCGGCCCTGAAGTAGTACACGTGGGACTTGAAGTGCAGCTTGAACACGTGGTCTTTGTGGATGTTCTCGGCCTCCGAGGGGATGGTGAGCGAGTACCCGAGCAGGGGCAGGCTGGCCAGGGGGTGATTGTCCTGCGGCGGGGCGGAGAGGCGGGGTGGGAGTGGGGAGGCGGCCCCAGCCTGGAGCAGAGGCCTCTAGGGGACCCCGCCCCACCTGCCTCCCGCGGGTGCTCACCTGGTGGGACTTGTAGAAGAACAGGCAGAAGTTGGTGAACACCACCCAGAGCTTCTGCCACCCGTTGCTGTTTTTGAACTTCCTCAGCAGGTTCCCAGACAGCTGGTTCTGAAAGACAAGGGGCCGGTCAGGGGCACGGGCAGGGCAGCGTCTGGCGCCGAGAGCAGGCTTCCTGGGACCGCCTAGCTGGGGCGCGCACTGCCCCCTGCTCCGTGGATCACGTGAGCCTCTGCCTCAGCCCATGACCCTGTCTGGAAATTGGGTTGGCGGGCCTGTCACCCCATCTGAATGGTGTCCTTAGAGGAGGAGGAACACAGGGGCGTGAGGACGGAGGCAGAGGCTGGAGGGAGCCCAAAACTGCCGGGGAACTGCACGGGAGACCCCTGCAGGCTTAGGCGTAGCATGGCCCTGGCCTGGACCAACTAAGTTTATCTATGGTTCAGCCCTTGCGCCCCAGCAGCAGGGAGTCCTCAGCTCCTGCCTGCCACCTAGTGGGCCCAGGTGGAAGCTGCTCTCCTCCCAGCCCAGCAGGCCAAGGAGGTCCCTCAACGTCATGGTCCTTGTCCAACTCCCAAGCTCCTGTGAGACCTGGGGCATGGACGTCCCGCTCAGCCCTAAAGAGGGCACAGACGAGCCAGAGGCTCAGTGATGGCCTTGGGGAGAGACTGAGAGGCGGTCACTGTAGGTGGCCAAGGTGAACCTGCTTCTGACTCGCTCACCAAGGGCTAAAGGAGCCCGCCTGATGCTGTCCATGGATGTTACCAGAATGAAAAATGAACCCGTGCGTCCACTTCGCTCCCCGGGCGAGGCCCCTAGGCCAGGAGCTGAGCTGCAACCCTTCTCACGTCTGCCCTGCAGCTGTTCGCATCTGAGGAGAGACAGCCCCTCCTGGGACCAGGGCTTGGCAGGACGAAGGGGACCCTGTAGTAAAGTCGGGGCTAGGGTGGCCGCCAGTGCCCTGGCTGCATGGAGAGCAGTGGTATGTGCCCTCCGGGTAGTCTGACACCAAATTCAAGTCGCTGCTTCAGAACCCCCTTGCTCTTCAGAGGCAGTTAACTGGGCCCCCAACATGGGCCGGACTCCCAACTGAACCCTCTTTCCAGGCCTGTCTCGGTCCACGCAGGTTCCTTAGACTCTCAGCTCCTGGAGCCGCCTGAACTCCCTGGGTGGGCGCCGCCAGCCCTGCCCATGTGACCTGCTGCTCAGCCAGCACCCGCGCTGGGTCTCCTCGTGCCCGCTGCAGGCTGGACAGGGTGAGGCCGCGTGACCAGGAGGCAGGGGTAGGGTGGGGGTCTCCTAGAGCCTCCAGAAGCCACACTTGCCCTGGCCTCCAACACGGAGAGAAGAAACTTCAACCCACACGCGGTATCACCAGGGCAGCCGCAGGGCGTGGGAATCATGAGTCATGGCTGTGCGGCCCCAAGGGACCTTCCCAGCCGGCCGCTCTCCCCTGCCCACCTCAGCAGCTCCACCGGCCGTCCTGACCCCAGCCTCCCCACGTCTCACGGGAGCCCCTAGGGTCCCCCTGCTGAGGCCTGCAGGAGACAGAACTAGGGGGGACCTGGCTGTGGAGCTGCTTCCCTGGGGGGGGGGGTGGCTCTGCGCCAGCAAGCTGGGGAGCATTGGGCCACGTGGCCATGAAGGCAGCCACCAACTTGAAGCTTGCACCTTGCAAAGGGGCTCTGGAAGGAGACGTTGGAGGGTGACAGAGACTGTCAGAGGCCACGAGTACCTCCCCCCCACCCCAAAACCGGAGCCGCTTCCCTCAGGGCGGCCAACTTCTGCAAAGGACTGGGGCACAGCTAGAGGGGCTGGAGGTATGGCGGGGAAAGCTGCCCTCTGTGGCTCGCATCCCTCAGAGACTCCGGCTCTGCTTCTGATCCAGCTGCCTGCGATGTGCCTGGGAAGGCCGAGGAACATGGCCCGAATCCGTGGGCCCCTGCCCACCATGTGGGAGACTTGGATGAAGACAGGCTTCTGGCCTCAGCCTGGCTCAGCCCTGGCCGTCATGGCCATTTGGGGAAGACCCGGCAGATGAAGAGCTCCCTCTCTTTCAAATCAATAAAATCAATCTTTAAGGAAAAGAAGTAGAGCCCTGTGTTCGTTCACAGGTTGTGAACAGCCAGGCGGTGGGGCGGGCACCGTGTGCTGACCCTGGCTCCCTGTCTACGCAGAAGGCCGTGTAGGGCTGTGCTGCAGCAGGTGCACCTGGGCTGCCCCGCCTGCCTGCGCCCTGCATGGCCTCCGTGAGTCCCTTGCCTTGACACTGATGACCCGCACTTGGCCTATGGGGAGGGGACATGGTTTCTCCAGCGGTTCTGCATCAGCATTGGAAGACCAGACCCAAGGGAATTGTTCCCCCAAGCCCGTTCCCCTGGGATCATCCTTTCCCAGTCCAGCAAGGTGTGCACACAGGTCCAACACACATGCAACGTGGAGGCAGAGGGCGTGTCCTGTGCCTTGGCCGTGTTCCCCTCCAGGGGTCTTCAGAAGAGAACCAACCACATCCCTGGCGCCCAGCCTCTAACACACACACACACACACACACACAAGACCAGAGGCAGCCCCGCGCCACCCGGGCAGGTGCAGCCGGCAGCAGGACGTGAAGGGAACTGCCCTGTTCAGAGCTTTCTGGGCCTGAAATACCCTGAGACGCGGCCACACACCCACACTGTGGAACACTTAGGGGATGCAGGTTTGGAAAGTTCTGGAAATCTTCACAGTCCAGATCCACAGAGAGCTACATCATCAAAGCCAAGCTTCCCCCCTAGAGGGAAGGGGCTGCCCCTTGTCCCCTCCAGGATACAGGGGGTGCCACCTCCCTGTGGACCTGGTTCTCTGTTGCCCCAGGACCCGAGCTGTGCGTGGGCTGGGCACTGGGGCCTCCCCTGGGTGTGTAGTCACTGCCACAAGGATCCACAGCCCGTCCTGCCTGCTGTGGCTACGCCACCAGGGGAGAGGAAGGCGGCCGAGAACAAACGAGCCAGGTCACAGGCCTCATGGAGGCCAACGGAAACCCAGCGCCATCAGCGCACCGTGGGCCTTGCTCCTCTCCCGCTCCTGTGCCTGTGGGCGGGCCTGTCCTCCCGCCGCGCCCCGGGTACCTCCACGGCGATGCTGAAGTCCACCATGGAGACGCTGGTGTTGCGGTGCCAGCACACGTGCACCATCGTGTTGCCGCGGTGCGGGGCCTGGCGCTCCAGGGAGGTGCGCGAGGCGCTCAGGTCGTCCTCTGACTCCTGGTCCGCCGCGGTGGCCTCATCGGGGGACTCTGCGGGACAGAGGGAAGCGCTGAGGATGGGGGGAGGCGTGTCTGGCTGTGCGGGAATCCAACAAGACCTGCTTGGAAGGGAGGGAGGGTTCCGGGAGGGTTCCGCCAACCTCTGCCAGGGTGGCCTCTATCCCCAACCCAGCAAGGATGGCCTTGCGCTCTGTCCAGTGCTGGCTCCTACTCCCTCAGAGCGGTTTTCACTGCCTTGCTTTTAGAAGGAAGCTCCCTGACACAGCTTGAAACAGAGCCTAAGGAAGAGGCCCGCCTGCCCAGTACGGAGGGTCAGGTACGCTCAGCACCCCTGCTCTGGACGCCCAGGGGGTCCCCAGTGCACTCACTGTTATCCGGGGGGCTGCTGGCCAGGAGCTCCGGGCTGGGGCAGCTGCTTTTCTCCGCCAGGTCAATGGCCATCTGGATGTCCTCCACCCACTTCTCCATCTCGGCCCGGGAGCTGAGGCAGAGGCGGGCGTGAGGTTCGCCAGGGTGGCGGGGCGAGGGCAGGCAGGGAGGCGGCGAGGGTCCGGCCTTACCTGGCGGCCACGATGATGGACTGCCGCTGGCCCCGCAGCGTCAGGCAGTGGGGCAGCCCCCACTCGGCCTCGCCCTCCTCGATCTGCAGGATGAGAGGGGGTGTCGTGGCTGCTGCTAAGCCGTAAGCCATGCCCGGTGACCCGGGAAGGAGGTGGAACGGGTGGGGACTGCGAGAGCTGGGCCCCTGTGCAGGGCGCAGGTCAGGAAAACCACATCGGCAAGGCGTGAGCAGATTGGGGGGGCAGAACCCGGAGACTGGCAGTACCAGAGTCAGGATCCTGTACCGAGTGGCTGTCTACACTGCCGGCCACAGGATGCGGCACGGAGGAAAGGGCAAGGCAGTTGCTAGTGTGTGGTGGGGCTGCCTGCAGGGGCCCAGCATGGTGGGAGGCACCCCCCACACAATGCAGACAGTGCAGCCGCCTTGCTGCTTTGCTTGGTCCTGGAAGGAATCACTCGCGTGGAGATGGAGGGGTGAGGCCCTCTGTGCCCTGCTAGAGCCCCCAGAGGGGCCCACTCTTTCGGGGAGTCTGTGGGCTTGTCACCCAGCATGGGGCTCGGTGGGCGCTCCCGGCCCTGGCTCCGCCCCCTGTCCGCTCTCACCGTCATGCCGTACAGCGGGAGCTGCCCGTGGACTTTAAACTGATTGGAGGCCGTCAGCCCGCGGCTGGTGTACAGCAAGACGTCGTTGAACTAGGGGCACAAGGAGAGGGCAGCCAAGGTGAGCGACCTGACCTCCGGGGGCCCTCCGGAGGGCCCAGGCTGCTCCCCCGCCCCCACCCCGGCCTGCTGCGCCCCCTCCGTCTGGCAGTCGGGCCGGGGAGGGCAGAGCTCTCACCACTTACCAGGAAAAACATGCGTTGCTGGAGCCCTTTCCCCGAGAGCTTGCTGAGGCTGCCCAGGCGGATGAACTCCTGCCGAGGAAGGGGGCGTGGCCGTGTCAGCGCGGGGACACCCGCTTCCTCACCCCGGCCTCCCCCATAGGAACCGCGCACTCATGGACCCTGGCTCCACCCTGCGACGCCGGCGCCAAGCTCTGCTCGCTCCTTCCCGGGAACATCAGAGGGAGTAGGCGCTCGGGGTGAACGGTGCCCGTGTGCTCAGCGCCAGGGTCCACGTCGCGCTGCGCCCTGAACCCCAGGCTGCAGGGGCTCCCTGCGGCCAGAGACAACCACTGTCTCTACAGAGAAAGGAGTTGCACGCGGCAGGGGACCCCAGAGGTGGAGAAGCTTCGGCAAGGAGGGTGGGGTGGGAGTGGTGGCTTCTCTGGGGTCTCAAACTCTGGTTCTTAGAAACCAGCAACTCCGTGAGAAGACCAAGAGGCAATGGTGCCAAAGCACCTTCAGATCGGAAACTAAGAAACGACACAAGCGTCATTTTAAATCGTGGCAAAACAGATGGCAAATCCACTGCCCGTGACCTTGACCTGTTCACGGAGTTGGCCGATCATCATTAGTGTCTAGTGCTACAATGTGCTCCCCAGGGACCCCTGAGCCCCTTCCTCCCTTGTACGGGGCTGACTTGCACCCGGGAGCAGGTGGAAGGCGGCGGTAGGATGGTTCTGAAGTTGGCCCGCAGCACCCCCGTTCCAGCCTCACCTTTATGAAGTTGTAACCACTTCCCTCTACCAGGCGCGGGGTGCCTGCCTGACCATCTGACTGCTCCATCTGTGAGGCCAGCCCGGAAGGTCAATGTTGTTATGGGATCACCCGGGCCCTTAGGAGATGAGCGTGCCAGCACCTGGGGGCAGTGCTGTGCATGTGACACAGTCAGCGACAGCTTGTGTCTACTCGGGCAAGTCAACAGCCATCTTTACAGAGAAAAGCCTCACTTGATCTTAATGACCCCCCTGGGAAAAGGCGGGATCCCCATGTTGAGTACTCCTGGTGACTCCCAGGGAGGCCTGCCACCACCATGCCTTGCGTAAGGAGGAAATGGCACGAGTGACCCTTCCCTCTTCCAGAACGGTTTTCTGGCCAAAATGCGGCTTCCATTTGGAATTAGAATTAAACTATGTCTAGAAAACTACATATTTTTTTGGAAAAGATTTGTTTATTTGAAATTCAGAGTTAGAGAGAGTAAGTGAACAAGCTCTTCCACCCACTGGTTCACTTCCCAGATGGCCCCAATGGCCAGGGCTGGGCCTGGCTGAAGCCAGGACCAACAGTTTCATCCGGGCCTCTCATGTAGATACAGGGGCCCAAACACTTGGGCCATCCTCCGCTGCTTTCCCAGGCCATGCGCAGGGAGCTGGATGGGCAGTGGAGCAGCTTGGGATGGCAACCCACGCCCAGCGCCCACATGGGATGGCAGCATCGCAGGCAGCAGCTTTACCTGCTACACCACAATATTTTCTATGGTATCCGTGTTGGGCACAACAGGTTAAACCACCACTTGCAACACTGGCATCCTGCATCAGAGTGTCAGTTCAAGTCCCGGCTGCTCCACTTCTGATGCAGCTCCCTACTATGCGCTGAGAAAGCAGCAGATGGCTCAAGTCCCTGGGCCGCTGCCACCCATGTGGGAGACTGAAACGAAGCTCCTGGCTTCGACCTGGTCCAGCCCCGGCTGTTGGGGCCATTTGGGGAGCGACCAGTGGATGGAAGATCTCTCTCTGCCTTTCTCTGTCTCCTTCCCTCTGTAACTCTGCTTTTCAGTAAATAACTCTAAAAATAATGAAAAATGCTTTTCACACTTGCACAGGCATTTATAAAATACTGCGACAATGCTTTCTCTAGTTTTCTCTCTACCCAATTCTTTTTTTCCCTTTATCATTTATCTACATTTATACAATTAACCCCTCTTTCTTTCTAGACTCTAGTAGGGAAAAGTAAATAAACCAATCAGTAAGGAGAAAGCATAGTAGCCGGGGTCCACGCTTGGGTTAACATCTTTGGCTGATGACTGGCGAGGGGTGTCATGACGCTCGTGGCGTTTCCGGTGCAGCGGGTAGGCGGAGCCTATGCGGGAGGGGGCGGGGCCCGCCGGCAGGTTCCCGCCGAAGCCCCGGACATGGACACGCCCTCCACCCGCCTGTACCGCAGACGCAGGCCGCTCACCCTCCCTGGGATCACGAGATTGTCGATGCCGATCAAGTCTTTCTTGAGTTCGTGCAGCTTCTGGAAGTTCTCCATCTTGATCATCGTTCCGTGCAGCTGGGCCACCATTTCCGTGATCTCGGCCAGCGCGGCTGCCGGAGGAGGAGACGGGGACACAGAGCCTCAGCGCTGGAGTAGGGACGGGGTTGGGGACCCTGTCGACCGGCGGCCGGTGTCCCCCAGAAGCCCTGGAACACATCAGTGACTCCGCGGGGTGCCCCGTCCCTTAGTGGGAACGCAGGTGCGCCCCTGCCGCCCGCCGGCGTCCCCAGAGCCCCTGGGACACAGCAGTGACTCCGCGGGGTGCCCCGTCCCTTAGTGGGAACGCAGGTGCGCCCCTGCCGCCCGCCGGCGTCCCCAGAGCCCCTGGGACACAGCAGTGACTCCGCGGGGTGCCCTGTCCCTTAGTGGGAACGCAGGTGCTACTGAGACACCCGGGGAGCTCCCGGGCCAGTGGACCCCAGTTCTTCCTCGCGTGGAACCCGTGTTTACCAAGAACTGCAGGATGCAACTGCATTTCCCAGCAGTGACGGCCCCCGATGTGCCACAGGAGCAAAGGCCCACCCAGGACAAATCTGGGGGTGGGGGGCGTGAACAGATGCCGAGGAAACTGGCGACTGAACCCGTCTCAGGCAGGACTGTCAGGAACCCCCTTTCCCTCGCTGGATCATGGCAGGCAGCAGCGACAGCCCCCAGGGCTGGCTCCGGCTTCACACCTGACCCCAGATTCCGCCCAGCAAACAGCGCGCGCACCCAGTGTGCGCCGGGCGGGGAGCGAGGGGCCTGGACTGTGTCTGGGCCCCGTGGTGCTCATCCCGGGAGCAAGCACTGGGCCTCCCTCCCGTCACCTTGGGTTCCAGGCTAAGCACCATGCGCTGGTCTCGGTTTCACTGTCAAGGACAGACTGTTCTTCCTAAGCACTGGTTACAAAAATAGCAGGACAGGCGCTTGGCACAGCAGGTGAGAGCTGTTTGGACAGTGGCACCCCACATGGCACTGCTGAGGTTTCCGTCCCCGCGCCGCTCTGACTCCAGCTTCCTGCTAATGTACACCCTGGGAGGCAGTGGTGATGGGTCCCTGCCACCCATCTAAGAGACAGACTGAATTCCGGGCTCCTGGCTTCAGCCTGGCCCAGCCACAGCTGTTGCAGGCATTTGGGGAGTGAACCTGCAGATGGTAACTCTCTCTCTGTCTTCTCTCCTCACCCCTTCACTCTGCCTTTCAAATAAAGAGAATCGATCTTGCCTTGCAGGGCTTCTGAGAACCTGTGGGATCCCCAGTCCAGCCTAATCTTTGCTACTGTCCCTCTGCATCCCACAGGGTAGTCACTCACAACTTCTTTCTGGAATGTTCCCCGCTCCATCCCCCTAGGACCGGCGTGCTGTTCCCATCTCTAGTCTCCACACTTCCCCCTTGCCAGCCAAACTGCCACTCACATTTAGCTCTCGACTTCGACATCTCTGCCTTTGAGAGACCCCCACCCCTGCAGCCCCCAAGGCTGAGAGTCCAATGCTGCAGCTCCAAGCCTATACACTTGCCCACTGCAGGGTTGGTCCATGCCCAGGTACCTGCTTGGGAACCCCCCAGTGGGTCCCAGGAGGGCAGGAGCCACATCCGTTCCTTGTTCCCTCATGTAGTGGCACAGGTACTCAATGCATGTCCAGTGCATGAGAGAGTGGCCGGGACCAGCTCAGAGCAAGTGCAGATAGTAAGAGATGCATCTAGGAACACAGGTGGCCCAGAGACGGCAGGTGTTTCTAGAACTTTGAGCAAGGGACGAGGGCCTGCACATACTGGCAGGTGTGCAACTCACACACTTCAAATGCTGCTTCCACGGGACGCACTGTGTGGGCAGCCTGGGCTGGGGAATGAATGCAGGGGACTGAGCAAGTGGCCTTGACCCGAGAGGGGCTGGCGGTCCAGGCCAGCGAGTGCAGCTGCCAAGATCACACGCAAGAGACAGAAGGACCTTGGTTCAAAGAGCAAGTACAAGGTTCAGTGGGGAAAGCGGGTCTGGGATACCTGCTGTGGGCTTTTACTGAGCGACACAGGAAACGCCTTCCTCCCTCAAAATCACCCTCTCCCCCCACCGGCGAGGGGCTGAGCAAGTGGGTACCATCATCCTGAGACAGATATGGGTTATGGCTTCCCAAGCTGTGTGGCAGGCTCCTTCACCCCTCTGGTCTCAGTAGCTTGGTATAGGAAATGGGCGCACCGGCCTCAGGCTTGTGGAGAGGAGAGTCTACAGGTGTAAACCGGAGCATCGCCAAGGCCCGGCAGCAATGAGATGTGTGTGCGGCCAGCCTGGGACGAAGTGATGAGCGGAGCAGGGCTTGGAGGTGCACCCAGGCTCAAAGGCGGCGACGCACGGGGCAGGGGCAGGGGCACGGGGTCCCGGTGATCATGTGCAAGCTGACCAGGTATGGCAGGGCCCGGGACACGGCGGCACCCTGGTGTCTCCGAGGCGCCCCCTCCCTGGCCCGGGCTGGCGGCACTCACCCCGACAGTCCCTGAAGTCGGCGTGGCTGGGCGGGTGGTGCTTGCACAGCCGCTCCAGGACCTGCCTGTAGTGCATGAGCCGGTGCAGCGGCCGCAGGAGGAAGGTGTTGAGCGGCAGGTAGCACACCTTCTGCAGCTCGAAGTCGCGGCAGAAGCTCTCCAGCCGCCGGGAGTTCTTGAGCCCGTTCTCCAGCGCCTCCAAGGCCTCGCTGTGCCGCCACAGGTGAGCTGCCAGGTGCTTGGGGGACAGAAAGAGAGGGCCGGTAGAGGACCAGCCCTGCCCGGCTGGCCCGAGCCGCCGTCATGTGTCCCGCCCGGCGCGACGTGGGGTTTTCATTAGTAACGTTTGCTTTTCTCCTTCCGTTGTATATGGGTATGTTTCACTCTTCAATACTGCACTTACGTCTCAGCAGGAAACACAAGCTCCATAGGGTGTCGGGTATAAAGTGCACTGAGATTATAAATCAGATGAACGATATGGACACTAGTCGGGGAATAAATGCTTTTTTTAAAGCGAGATAGGTTCACAAGCTCCCAGGGGTGGCCTGTGGTCTTCTAAGTGTCACCACCAGACTGGGTCAATGTATTGGATTCGTGTGTGTTTCCCTACTGTGCTCCACTCCAGAGAGATGACTGACAGCTGGACAGGGTCGGTCTCCTAGGATTGGGGGAGACCGGGTCAGGGGGAGGTGCTGGAAGACAGAGCTGGGGCCGGAGGGGATGGGGGGGGGGACAACAGACCCCAGGACATTGGAACAGCTGCTGTCTCCAAGTCTCCTCCCCAAGGACTTCCCAGGCTGGGCTACTCCCAAATCTAGTCTCCAATCCAGACCATGGTCCAGTCCCGGAAACACAGGGGTCCCTGCAGAAGCCTGCTGCTTCCCTCTTGCCTCTGGGGGTGGGGGCGGGGAGAGGGGGAGGGGTCTCATTTATTCCCTGACCTCAGGACCGTGCAGGATGGAACAGCCTGGGGAACATTCCGGATTCCTGCTTTCTCTGAGCCCTTCCTCAGGTCTCATGAACTTGACCTCCTAAAAGCATCAGGTCTCTTCTGTTCTTCGTCCCCGGTGTCACCCACCATGGTGACAGTGTCTTCCCCTCCGCCTCCACCTCACTGCATGTTGGGCCACCAAAGCGAGCAGGGGCCTTGGGGTACAACCCCGGCAGGGGCTCCGGCAGCGACTGCTGCCTAACCCAGGCCTCCCGCTGCACGACGGCCCTGCCCAGGACCCCTTCAGGGTTGGTAGCAGGGTCTTCCCTAATGTGCATCGTGCCGCATTTAGTGCAATACTAGCCCACATCAGCCCTTAGCACACACCTTCCCCTGCTGGGCTGGTCTCCTGCCTTTCTGTTGTGAAACAGAGATTCACGGGAGGTTGCAAAGAACTATACAGGGAGGTCTTGGGCACCTCTCCCCCAGCGCCCCTCCTGGTGGCAACCTGGGTTGACTCAGGACAGGGTCAGCTCTGTACCATCACAGAGCCTACTCGCGCTGTACCAGCTACACACCACACCCTTTGAGGGCATGAGTACATGCACACCTAGGCACGTGTGTGTGTGTGGGTGTGTGTGTGAACTGCTCTATGCAACATCACTGCACAGGCTGCTACATCCTTGGGACCTAGCATATACAGCAGGTGCCTAATAAATATCTTGCTTTAATGTATGGCTGAGCAAAGGAGGCCATTCCTGCACGCAAGCCAAGGCAGTCATCTTGTGAAGATGAGACAGGATAGGAGAGGCACATTCCTGGATGCAGAGTCGGGCATGGAAGGTGGAAGAAGCTTCTAGAATGATCTCCCGGGACTGGGGGAAGAGGCTGCCATGCTCAGGTTTGGAGTCTGAGCTGCCTCCTCCAGCCATGGAGGAACAGGTAGGGTTTTGAGAAGAGTCATACAAACAGTGACTGCTGGTGACATGGACAGTCGGTGGGTGGCAGCTGACTCATCAGGAACTCATCTAGAACCTTCTGCCGGTCCTCTCCACACTTTGCAAGAACTCTTTAAAACCAACCACCCGGCGCCGCGGCTCACTTGGCTAATCCTCCGCCTTGTGGCGCCGGCACACCGGGTTCAAGTCCCAGTCGGGGCACCGGATTCTGTCCCAGTTGCCCCTCTTCCAGGCCAGCTCTCTGCTGTGGCCCGGGAGTGCAGTGGAGGATGGCCCAAGTGCTTGGGCCCTGCACCCCATGGGAGACCAGGAGGAAGCACCTGGCTCCTGCCTTTGGATCAGCGCGATGCGCCGGCCGTAGCGCGCCGGCCGTGGCGGCCATTGGAGGGTGAACCAACGGCAAAAAGGAAGACCTTTCTCTCTCTGTCTACTCTGCCTGTCAAAAAAAAATAATAAATAAAAAAATAAAATAAAACCAACCACCACCACGACACAAAACCCAGCTAAGTCCTCAAGGAAGCTGCCGATGGCTCTCAACTCCTCCATCTATTTTTATTCTGCTTGCGTAGGGCTCCACGCTATAAATGCCAGTGGCATCGGCACAATTCTGAAATGCCAGCACCACGGAGGCCGCTGGCAGCTCGCTGCACTGAGAACGCGAGTGCTCCAAGTGGGAACCAGGTGCGGTTGTAGGGGACTCCTGTGCTAAGACGGTAGAGAGGGAAGAGGAATTCGGTTCTCTGTGGGAAAGCCCCGGGGCAGGGGGGCGGGGGGGGGGAGTTGCAGACCGGCCAGAGAAGGTTCTACAGGAGTGCTGGCAGCCAGTGGCACTTGGGGACTGTCCCCTGAAGCAGAGGCAGGAGCCAGAGTCCTCTTGGAGGGGGCCTCTCCCTTGCACAGGTGAGTGGGAAAGGTGAGAAAGCGGGGTGGACTGAGAAAAGACACGGCCCATGTCGGAGGAGGTGTCTGGTGGGGGAAGGGCGCGGAAGGGCACGGGGCAAGGCAGGTGACGGAGCGAGCGAGCAAAGGGAGAGGCGCTCTTAAGGAGCGAGAGAAGCCAGCCTGGAAGGGCTGTGTGCGTCCAGCTTGGTGACAATCTGGGGAAGGTAAAACCCAAGACCGAGTGACAAGCCAGCATTGCCAGGGACTGGGGCCTGGGGGCTGTGAGGGCATCGGAGCCCTTCGTAAGCCAGTGTCCTGGGGGTCATAGGTCACCATACATCTCTCACTGCACACAGTGGAGAGCACCAGGAGGGGCCCAAATGCAGACCCTGGGTTTGGGTTAATAACAATATGTCAGCAGTGGTCCAGCAGCTTCAACCAGCGGGCCCACACTGCAAAATACTGATGCGAGGTAGGCGATACGGGAACTCTCTGTATTTTCTTTCTTCTGCAAACCTGAAACTGCTCTACAAACATAAAGCACATCAATTTCAAAACCACCACGGCAGGTGGTAGAGATGCGAACGTCTGAGCTTTGCACGTCAACCTGGACTTGGGCATTCACAAGACTCCGGCTGGGCAGCGTCTCAGGTCATTCCTGCTCTTCCATGTGTGTTTGTTTCTTGCACAGGATTCTGCAATCCTGATCCCCTCCGTGTGGCCTGCCTCTGACGACGTCTAAAACTGTGAGTGTTGCTCATGGTAGAAAAGCAAACAGTAGTTCCAGACCTGGGAGACAACATCTTCATACTTTTTAAGAGAGAGAGAGATGGACAGAAGGACGGCTGGACACGGGCCTTGTTGGGGGCTAGAGCCTGCTCTGGGTGGGATTCAGCTACTAAGGCTATGAGACAGGCTGTAGGCAGTGGAGACACAGGAAAAGTGCCATAGAATGTGAATACAGATGTAGTCAGATGAACGGTGTGCATTAAGAGGTAAGATACTAAAGGAACGATTAACTAGTTAAAATGAAAATGTCAGACATAAGAAATGAGACAGATTATAGAAATGTGGCTGAGTTTTGGTTTAGTATTTGATTTCTTTTAGGTATACTTTAGTGACATTGCAGATGTCCGAATGGTTAAAAACGTGTTTTCCTTATACACTGATTTAAAGTCACTGGATTTGCTGGGATTCCTACATAGTTCCCAATCTGATATTCTGCCATGCTTGGAAGAAGCCAGAACAGCCGAGTGGAACGGCACCAACACACAGATACCAGTGTCTGGTTGACGTCCTTAGAGAAACAGCCTTTGCAGAAAACCCCTGTCGTGTTGGGTACAGCCCAGAGCTTTGGAAACAAACAACCATTACGAATGCTTTCAACAAAGAAAAGGACCTTGCAAGGCTAGAAGACGGGCTCACCAAAACGGCCACCCCTGGCCGCCGAGGTGTGGCCGGGGCACAAGGGCTGGGTGGGAGCCAGGCATGCGCAGCCCTGTAAGCCCGCCCCCCGTGCCCCGCCCCCCAGTCACCTTCATGCCCTGGATGTTCCTCAGCAGGACGTCCCCGATTCTTTGGTAATCACCTTTCACCTGGGCATTGGAGCGGCCTTCCCTGAGGACACAGCAAAGGCGGAGACGTGGGGCGTTAGCAGGGCAAACACGAGGGGACCGTGTCCCCACCCGGGACCCCAAAACATCCCCCCGGATATCCTCCCTCTCCACCACCCACCTGCACCCCTGCCTCGTGTCTCCCACGCTTTTCTTGGGGTCACGGCATGTGGGGGGAAGGCTCTGAAATGACCCTACTCATTTTGCGAAGAACTCCCCACGTGGGCTTTGAACGGGCAGCACTCGCTTTTGATCCTTTTAAATTGGCCTTATCTGGTTTTAGTTTTTTCCATCAGCCCTCGGGTGACCTCCATATGGTGACAGCAGCATGGAGATCACGTGCAGCAGGGCTCGTGGGACGGATTCTTCCCAGTGAGACAGGCGCTAAGAGACACTTGGATGAGCCAAGACGTAGCCTCCAAACGGAGATTTCTGCTCCCAGGAGCCCTTAGCCCGGAGCAAAGAGCTGCCTGGGGAGCCCTTGAGAGACCTGTCACTGAGGAAGTGCAGGGGACGGCGCGTGTGAGTGTGTGTGTGTGTGTGTGTGATGACACCGTGAGGGCCCGAGGGGTGGCCGGCGGCGGCACGCTGTGTGCTGGACGGCAGAGCTATGGGCGCCTCCTGCCGAGTCTTTGGGTATCGTATTTTTCTAGGGCTCACTTTTGCTGATGTCGATGGTTCAGGGGCTTAAGCAGCAGAGAGAAAACTACTCGCAGTCCTGGCAGTGAGCAGTTTGGGAGTCCTGACCGCATAGTGGGCACTGCCCCTGAATTACGGCAGGACCACGGCACGGAGCAGGTGACTCCAGTCCACGCGCCCCACTGGGGGTTCGGAGGCTGCACTGTTTTCTGCGCATGCGCTCTGTCGTGTGCCGGCCGCTGGGCTGGGGCGCTCGGCAGGGCAGGTGGAGTCAGTGTATTTCCAACTTACAATGGCAGAGGATGGAACCCCCGGTGCACGTGCAGGCGCACCTGTGAGCACTAACTCCATTAATCCCGATGGCAGTTTATGAGGGGCAGGCAGGATGATCCCTGCCACCTCGGAGCTGAGCGCTCGAGTCACACGCCAGCACTGCCACCACGAGGGGGAGGACGTGCACGAGCCCCAGGGGTGCGGTTTCTCAATCTACACCCCGAGCTGCGCAAACCCGCGGATCTATCCAATTGTTAGCAAAGAATTTCCCAGACGCAACTAAAACGTGGTTTTTAACCACCTGGTCAACGTGTAGTTCAGGAGAGCTAGCAGCCAACTTACAGGAAAGGGATAAGTAATAATAATAGTAATAGTAATAATAATAATAATAATAATAATAAAAAAGGTCAAATTCTGGGCACTGGGCTTCAAGCTGGAAGCCAAGGGCATTCCGAATGCAGGAACACGGCGGCAGTCCGAGTCAAGGGCCTAGGGTATACACACGCCCCACGGCCATGGCAGCTCTGAGTTTCTGGCGAGTGGCTTTTAAATCCTGATGGAGGTGTCAGCGCTGTGGCACAGGTTAATCCTCCGCCTGCGGCACCGGCATCCCATATGGGCACCGGTTCGAATCCTGGCTGCTCCTCTTCCAATCCAGCTCTCTGCTGTGGCCTGGGAAAGCAGTAGAAGATGGCCCAAGTGCTTGGGCCCTTGCACCCGCGTGGGAGACCAGGAAGAAGCTTCTGGTTCCTGGCTTCAGATCGGTTCAGCTCTGGCTGTTGCAGCCATCTGGGGAGTGAACCAACAGAAGGAAGATCTCTCTCTCTCTCCCTCTCACTGTCTGTAACTCTACCTCTCAAATACATAAAATCTTTATGAAAGAATCATGATGGAGCCATTTGGCTATGACCATTCTGTTGGCCCTGGCCGGCATCCACTGGTGGCTCTTCTGCTTCCACTTGGCACAGAGAGAGAATTAACCCCCCCCACCTTCAGAGGGCTCCAGCCTGACCTGGGCACCTTCTGCCACCTAAAGTCCCCACCCCATCTTGCCTTCAAGATCCCACGGGCTCTCCCAAGGGCTGGCCAGTGCTCCCTCCCTCTGCCCATGGCCTCCACGCCTGAGCAAGGTAGATTTCCACGTTCAAGGAGCACCCAGCCACTGGGCCAGAGCTAACTTGATTTTCATGAAATGCCAACAAAAGGGGGTGATGCCAGTTGAAACTTGGTTTGTGGCTACCATCTGGGACTTCAACAACTGACCCAGAGTTCTCAAATGGCGTGAGGTTTGCCAGGACACCTAAGAAAGTCCAAAGGATGTAATTTAGACTTATTATTATTATTACTTACAACTTATTTATTTGAAAGGCAGAGTGAGAGAAACAGATGGAGAGACAAAGAGAAAGTCAATTTCCATCCACTGGTTCACTCCCCAGATGGTTGCAATGGTCCAGGACAAAGCCAGGAGCCCAAGCACTTGGGCCGTCTTCCACTGCTTTCCCAGGCACAAGAGTAGGAGCTGGATCGGAAGTGGAGCAGCCAGGAGTTGAACCGATGCCCTGGTGTGGGATGCCAGCGCTGTAGACGATGCCTTCACCTGCTGCGCCACAGCGCTGGCCCTGGAATTTAGCCCTTTTAATGAGAATAATCTAGATTGTGTGGGCAAGGGAAGAAATGGGGGGATTTCTGGCTCCCATTGATAACAAGCAACTTCCCCTCTCTCTCTTTCTCATGGACGCCCCTGCAGAGCACGAAACAAGGCAGGAGGGCGCTGGGGGAGGGTGGCGGAGAACAGAGTGGCAGCCAGGCTCGGCTTTCTCCACTTCCTCTGGTCCGCCGCCAGCTCCTGATTACACAGCCTGCTGACGCGGAAGCCTCAGGCTCCAGGGGCCGCCTCTCCCGTGCCCACTGGCTCTGAGCCACATCTGTTTCTCCGTCTCCAGCCTCCGGACTTCCACTGGAGGGACAGCCCCGGGCTGGCAATGTCGGCCAGGGCAGCAGGGAGACGCCCACAGCGTGGCGACGGAAGGGGGTCGGCTCTAGGTGAGGCCGAGCTGGGGGCTCTGACGTGGCTGCCCCCAGAACAAGCACCACTGCCCCTCCCACCCCAGCTCTCGCAAGCCCCAGTCCTGCGTGGGTCCAAACCCCTGGGCCACAGTCCCCCGGATGGGGGGCGACACTGCACTGATTTCCTTTCTATGTTACTCGCTGCCACCAAACCCACCCATCCACACATCCGGAGCCTTTGTCTCGTTAGGGCCAGCAAAAGGTCACTGCGTCGCCGGAACATGAAAAAGTAATTACGGCTCCTCTGTAACATCCCCGGATGACCACTGAACAAGAAAAGAGGCCCTTGTTTGGAAGGCACGGCCACAGGGCAACGAAGACGAAAACCCTCTTGAAGATTCCACGGATTAGAAAAGCTGCGTGAAGCCTATGCAGCAGCCGCCGCCGCCATGCTGATTCTGACCCATGCAACGTAACGCCTTACTCCCAAGAGCAATGACACGTGACCTTGGCAAAGGGATGAACGCATGCACACGCACGAGGAGTTTCCAAGTCTTCCTGCCGCCCGTCAGCACGTCACGCACTGGTGCACCACAGCAGTGGGAACTGGCCAGTACTGGCCCCCGTGTGGCATCTCCAAGGGCCAGCTCTGCCTGCCTCGTCCCCAACTGCCCCTCACAAGGGCAACCTTGCAGCGTGGCCTTGACTCTGACCAGACCTGGCCTCCCGTTTGCATCCTTCACCCCAGGCCAACATCATATCTACCTAGAATCCCAACCACCACGTGCTGATGTCTTCCTCAGCCTCGTCTCCCAGCTTCCCCTGACCCCGACAGTCTCAGGAGCCCAGGATCAAGCCCGTGTGTGTGTGTGTGTGTGTGTGTGTGTGTGTGTGTAGGGGGGAGGGGACATGCTTCCTGAGAGTGGTAACACTGGCCTTGTTTTAAGTGTCCCAGGAGGTCCCCAGTGGAATTGAGCGGCAACTGACACGCTGGGTTTCCCAAGCAACCCACAGACATGCACACGCGCCTCCTACATGCAACAGAAGGAAGACTCATTAGCTAAAAACACTCAGGCAGTCTACACAGCTTGGAGCTGCAGGCAGTTTCTACTCTGGCTCTGTGTCCCCGTCTCTGACCCCTGCAGCACGGATTTAAGCTCCTCATTTGCAAAACAAACGCGGCTTCCTTATGCCCTAAATTCCCTCCATTCCTAGGATTCCCAATGAAAAAATCAGACTCAAGTGCAAGTGGGCAAATGACAGAGACAAACCTCTCCTCAATACCACGTTTTGAATTCCATGTGAGGGGGTCCTCAGAAAGTTCGGGGGACAATGTGTGTCCTGCAAAACTTCTGCAGGGTTCCACGGTGTTTGCACCAGAATAATCCTATCAGCTAATCCCATTTTCTGTGAACTTTTCCAAGTCCCCTTGGATAGGAGGGTTCAAAAAGCAAAAAACCAGCAGGAGCAGTGGATCGTAATATATTCTGTTCTACATATACATTAGCCACATGTACTGAATGTGATTCTCGACATCCTTTGATGAAGTGATGGGCTTCAGGATCCAGCGAGAGGAAGAGTCTACCCCCGCTAGCAGCAATCCCCACCCGCATGCCACGCGGGGGAGCACTCGCGGTGCGGGCCCAGGCGCCCAGATCCCGTGCACTGCTGCGGGTAACGGAATGCAGAGGCCGCGGGCTCCCAGCCACCCGAGCCCATCCATCGCAGCATCAGGCTGCGTGGCAGCCCCAGCTTCTTTCCTTCTGAGGTTAATGCGGGGTCAAGGTCAGGCAGAGAAGTTCCAGCCCAGCCCCAGGCAGGTCTGATGGTGTCCTGGGAACAGTTCCCATCAGAAAGCCTCGGTGACCTGCCCCAGGCCACACGGCATGAACGGGGCTGGAACGCAGATCTGCAAAGCCCCTTTTCCTTCTCCTGTCCCATGAGGCCTAACACCGATGGTCTGATTGGCCGCCTGCGGGTCCCCTCTCAGGGGGGACCCCAGAAGGGGGCCCCTGCCAGAGAACAGCCGGGAGCCTAACTGGGAAGACCAGGCAGAGGCACCCTGGTCCCTGGCGCCGAGGACCC